ACAATGATATGAGGCACTATTGCATTCGCTAACTGTCGTCTTCAGAACAATGCCTACATAGCCACTGTGATCGGGTGTACCTACCCAATCTACATAAAAACATGTGCCAACAATCAACCAAAACAGATTTTTTGCTATAGCACTGTTCGCGCATAAGTTTGTGATACCTATTTCTGTTATTAATTCAAACCATGTTCATTCCAATCGTTGGCTTTTTTTTCGCTCCTGTCAAACTAAAGTAGGCCAAACCCTATATTGACGCATTTCCCTTCAAAAGGGCTATCCATTTATGCTTAAAAAATTAGGTGGTGCTTTTTAAAAAAAATGTCGATAACGTCATAGGTTTATGAAACATAGCACAAAAAAGGTTTAAGCAACGTGACAAAACGACAATTCTAATTTACTACTTGACGTGTTTTAGCGTTTTTGTGAAAACTCAACACAAAATAAAATATGAATTTTTATGTTGCTTCTGGGACGCACTGTATAAATAAAAAAAATGCAGTGACTCCTCCACACAGTATTCGAGAAGTAACGACACTTGAATGAAATGTTTTCTCAGCGATGGAATGAATGGACGCTTTGGTCCTGTGCCGTGGCCACCTCGGTCATTCGATCTAACTCCAATGGACTTTTATCTTTGGAGTCACTTGAAGTCATTGGTTTACAATACCCCAATTGCTACGGTGGAAGAATTGCAAAACCGTATACTTGAAGCTGCTGACACAATTAGAGGAATACTTGGAATTTGGGAAAGATATTCGCCAAAATTGGGTGCCTCGATGCCATGCCTGTATCCGCGCTAATGGGGATCAATTTCAACATTTTCTCTAGGAATAGTAAGTTTTATTTCAATTTGGTTCATATTTTAATGGAGTTTGTTTAGTGCACGCAGTTGGCAACTACAGATGCTTACAGATTTGATTTTGTTTGCGAACTTTTGCAGTAACAACGATGCATTTAAGATAGTAATTACTATTAATTATTATAATAAGAAAATATCAGTTTTTTTTAATATCTATTTTTCTTAGTTTGTACTTTTGCATTGAAAAATTTCCGAAAAATTGAAAAGTATCTTGTTATCTTCCAACGACGATTTGTTTACGCGGCTGGTCCACAGCACGTAACTCATCGTACAGCACACGGACAAGACCGTTCCGGAGAAAATATTTTGATCCATAATTGAACTTTAATTTACGAAAAAAAAAACGCAAAAATAGAACTTTTTCGTATAAGACTTTTCTATTACATATATCGTTAGAAAGCTGTAGTTTCATTTTTGATTATACTCGCCGCATCCTGTATGTTGATATAAAAATCTATTTAAGGATAAACAAGACTGCATTCATCTACAGGAAAATCCTAGTAGACTTCGCTTTTGGAAATGGAAAAAATCAACTTTTAATTAGAAAGTAAATTTTGATTTTCAATAGGTACAGTATAGACAACGCATTTCTTCATAATAAGTTAGATTTTATTAAGGGTTAGTTAAATATCAGCATTTATATTTATATTTGCAAACATAATGGCTAGAACCCTCCCTGGATTTTAAATGTTAAGTTATTCCCTTTTTTTTGTAATGTTTTTAGGAAGAAATTTTTAATCTCTGTCTGTCGGTAGCCTCATTATGAAAATAATTTTTCATTCACCTTATTTTTACGCGAGATATCTACTACCGAGCTGTATTTCATTTGTAATGACTTCCAATGTAAGTCTATTAGTTCATTCACATCAATTTGTATGTCTGATACTATTAACAATATAGTGACAATTATTAGTTAAAAAATTCCTGTAATTAATAATAATTTAATACATATAACTCCGGTTCATTGCTTCCACCAACCTATATATAAAGATGAATCACGTTGAAGTTCGTACACCTACGGCAATAATTTAAGACGGCTGCTAATAAAAATTCCAAGAAATCTATATAAAACGTCAATAGGAATTCGGTCTGATCAAATATCACGTTGGGTTTTCATCACAACGATTTGTTTGACTGCCAGATTTCATCATCTTGAATGAAAATCGAAGGTAGGCTAGACTATGTGCAATGCATAATATCTCATGCTAAATTCGTAAACGTAAACAGAACATTAAAGTCGCTGACTCCTAATTACACGATACTAAATTTACATTTTTGTTGAGTCATTTAGTAATTTATTTCACCGTTAGAAGTTTGCCTACCAGTCTGGCTTCCAATATGTCGGCTGCTTTTGTGTCAGAATATCAAACAAAGTATCCTTATTTTCGTCTCTAACGTATACTTGTAATTAGTTCAATGAAGAGGTCATTTACAACTTACAGGGTGTATCAATGTTCTGTGTACATAGAACTGCCACAGATATTTGAAGTCAAAGTATTACTGTTTAACTAAGCTTACCTCCTCTATCCAGAATCCCTTCATTAAGTCGCTAGAGAGCGTCAAAATTGGCAAAAAATGTAATTTATTCAAAATAGCTATTAAATGTTTTGTCTTATTTTTTGAATAATAATTAGCAACATAAAAAAATAAATAAGTATTATTATTGCTCAACAGATCATCCCAATTAAGGACAAATAGTATCTAAATATCAATTTGTTTCTTACCTCAACTAGGTATTAATAAAAAATAAATTATAATTCGAAATATAAATGCTAGTTGAAAGTACACATATGTATTTTGAAAATTAAACAAATTAATCATATAAAGTGCAGTTGTTATTCTTGAAGTGACTTTTGTGTTCCTTTAACCTCATGTTGGTGTGCTTTCCTGTTTGTCCTATGTAGACCTTTCCGCAAGAGCAAGGAATACTGTACACACCGGGGCCCTGGATCTGGTCGTTGTTGCAGGTCTTTGGAAACGCTGCCGCCACCTTCTTTACAGTGCTGAATACGGTGTTGATATTCCTCTTCTTGAAAACGCCCGATTTTAACTGTACAACCTTTCAGGTAAGGTAGATACGTCGTCGCTAAGTGCTCCCGTTTCTCCATGGGCGTATGTCGTGGCGTGGCGTCGTGTAGCCATTCACTATCACGGCTGTGCGTAGGTGTTCTAGCTCCTCGGCCAAGTGTCTTGACTCGCTGATGATCCGCGCTCGATGAATCAAGGTATTTATGATCCCCTGTTTCTGGGCTGAGTGGTGGTGGGACTCCGCGTTCAGATATCTGTCTGTGTGAGTTGGCTTCCTATATACTCGATGTCCTAAAGTGCCATCTGGTTTCCTCTCAACCAAAACATCCAAGAAGGGAAGGGCGGAATTTTTCTCTATTTCCATGGTCCAGATGGTGAAGGTGTCGTCAACATATCGGTACCAGCACTTAGGCTTCAACGTTGTGGATTCCAGGGCTTTCTTCTCAAAGGCTTCCATGTATATATTGGCCAGGGCTGGAGATAACGGTGAACCCATTGCTGCTCCCTGCGTCTGTTCGTAGAATTAGCCCCGGAATGCAAAGGAGGTCGATTTTATGCACACTTTTGCTAAATCCATTTGGCTCTCATCTTTGTCCTCTGCGATTAGTCTTCGATGCAGTTCTTCCAGGGCTTCGTCGACGGGTACTTTCGTTAATAGGGATGTAACATCGAAGCTCACCAGGATATCTTCTGGTTAGAGTTCAATTCCACGAATCTTGTCGATAAAGTCTCCGGCGTTTTTGACGCATTGCTCTATCCTCCCTACTAAGTTCATTTCAGTGTGACACATGCACAGATCACAGATGTTAAAAAAAAAGTTGTTTCGTAACTTTCGTAATTTATTATTTCCTACCGATGGCCAGCCAATTCTTTTATCTGTGCTGTACGTGCAGTTGTATCTGTGTTTGCGTTTTTATGCAGAGGGAAAGAAGAAGAAATGGAAAGAAATTAGAAGACGGTATTACATATTTTTTTTTCTTTTAGATGTTCATGACTTGATTTGATACTACATACATACAGAGCAAGATTTTGTTTGAAATACAAATGCCAACTAATTGCCTAAAGAGGAAAAGGGCAGTGTACGGTAGTTTCGACCTATGAATAGGGCATAGTCGTTTTGGGTTTTTTTATCCGCATTCTATGGAACATGTGCTTTATATTATGTATTTTTTTTTAATCTAGTTAGTCATACTGTAGTAGTTGTAACCAAAGACCTCAGAATGACTCTGAGGTCGTTGGTTGTAACTATCTTGCCTGCGAACTTTTTTATTTGCGGAACATTTGGGACATTCTACGATTGTCTCGACCGTGCTAATTCTGTAAATGCAATTACTGCAATTACTGTATCAAAATGTGACACGGAGAAGGCGTTTTAGAGTTTCTCGGAAAAAATTGTTTATCAACTTTAATGTCTTCTAGCGGTTGCTTCGATTTTAGAAAAAGATTTTTCTTAATTATGTGTTTAAGAATCTGTGGTAGTGTCATGTAGTTGCTATTCCCCAGATACAATCCTTCTTAATACTTATTTAGAAATTCCTAACCATTTTTTGATTACACTGAGTAAAAATACTAATACTTATAAAACTATGTATGTTCTTATAAAACTTGCAATTTTCTTGCTTCTAATTTTTTTTCTTTCTTGGTCTAAAACTTCCCGTTTATTAAATAGGTAACCTACATTTTTCTCTTATTTTTAGGTGCTCTTTGTTAAATATACTAAAAAATCTGTAGATGTACAGTTTTATGATTTAGGTAAAATATTTTAAATACTTTGAACTCAATTCTTTAAATAAAATATGTAAATAGAACCTGGCCAATTTGGAAACAAAAACTGTACCCAAAATTAAGGAAACATTAAGAATTATTTATTTTAAAGAGAACAACTTTTCGAAATTATGCTGACACAATAATTATGTTCCCCAATATCAAACGTGCAAATGCAAATAAAATTTTTTAATATTTCCAGTTATACAGTGTGTCCATGATAAGGATGAAATAGCATTAGGATCTAGGAAACGGTAAGAGATACGGGGTGGTCCATATTTGAAAAAAGTTGTGTTTTTTTATACTTAACAATATGCCGCTTAGTAAGTTTTAAAATTCCGGATAGTTCCGAAGATATCCGGAAAAACCCAAAATTTTACAAAATCGTTTTATTTTTTCCTGGCTTTATTTGAAAACGAATTTTAAAATAAATTGCATATTTACAAAGTCACTTTTTTCGCTCTATCCAATGAGGTCAACATTTTTGCAATCCGACGTTTCGTCTTCGAGGGGCCACCATCAGGTTAATTTTTTTAAATACGTCGCTGCTATTTTTATGACAAAATATAAAGCTATTTTTAATTCTGAATTAGAAGATACTACTATTATAATCGCTTAAAGAGTTTTTTAGCTTGCTTTAGCCATCATTTAAAATTTTTCCAGAGTACGGCTCTGAATGCTTTAAAAATATCTATTGGAGGAAGTATATAAGAAACGGCTTATGTAAAACAAGTTAGAATTACTATTTTAAAGCAAATTTAAACATTTAGAACCAAAGTCACCGAAATATAATTATTGATATTATACATATGATCAATAGTCTAATACAGCGAATTTCGACTAACTTTCGAAGATTCTCCCGCTACGACGATGAAGAGCATGAACCTAGAGTAGATCGAAGTCACGAGGAGGAACATAAATCTCAGTTTCCTTCGGTTGTTATGTCAAGCGAGAAGTAAATACGATGGAAACCTTCGCTAAGCGATCAGGCGACCAACGTCATAGCATCGAAAGTAAAAACAGACCCAGTTCAAAATGATCCTTTCAAACCCATTCTGAAGGTTTGTAACCCGATGAACCTGCTAAGAGGGATGGTAGATTAACTGCACCGCAAGCTAGCCTGAACCTTCAAAACCCGCAACATGGCGCCCAACGCGGGGCCATGTTGCCAAATGAGCAATTAACCTACGAAAACCCACCACACTGTAAATAAAAATATTGTCGTTAAGTATCTACCGCTTAAAGTCATTTCAAATATATAAATATTGACACTATGCGGTTTGTGTTGAATGTTATTTTAAAAGGTACTAATTACCGCTGTATTCAGAAGTGAATTATAAATAACTCAGTTGTAGCATGGAAAACAGTAAATACATAACTATTTATACAAAAACACATTTGTTTCAGAATTACAGAATAGATTAGAGGGGATAGTAAAATTTCATGTCCGAAATACAACTTTTTTGCAATATTTAACAAATAAAAATAGATTTGTATACCTATATCGAAGAATATTTAATATCTACAATAGAAAAAATGTCGAGCAGTTGAAATAGAATTTTGAGTTGGTCGGATGATCATAGCCGTCGCGTCGGCCTTTCCCTACAGCGCACCGTACGAAACCGATAATAACGGCTTCGTGTTTGCTTCGTGTATACGTGTTTTAATATTCTAATAATGTCAAACGCGCCAAGGGGTAAAAAACGACCTTTCGCTGATAAAGTACGCTAATGTATTTATTTTTATTTATACCTACTTGTTTGTCTATTTGTTTACGACGAACATGCCTATGACTAGCCGACGATAACCCCGAGCTCTATTTATGACCTGTCAGCAAATACTTAAGTAATTGAGCTTATCTTGAGAACATTTTTAAATGTTCTTTATGAACGCATGTAATTACTTTCCATGTAAAAAATAAAGTACAGGTAAAACCATTGAATCAACGAGGTGTATGGGGCCTCTAAGACCGAATGTACCCAGTATTATTCTTATTATAATAGTTTTCAAAAAGTGCATCTAAATACCTACAATATTTTTATCGAGAATACAACCGAATTCGAGATTTTTACCTTTGAATATAAAAATATTTGAGACGCATTATTTTGTAGCAGTAAAGAAAATAAATAAATGACTAGACTTCCATTAACCGAGATACCTACAAAATACTTGGCAGTTAAAGTTATTTATTTTTAAATTGAAGGAAGTATATTATAGATGTTGTCAATTTTCAAAAGCTGTTCCTACCTTGTATTAGTCATATGTATAAAATAAAAAACAATTACAAAATGCTATAGATGCGTATTTTGTGAGTTATAATATAATGGCATGGGCATCGGCTGAGAATTTGCCAATTGCAGGTCACAATAGCTAATAAAAAATAATACTGGTTTTAAGGCTTTCATGGCCTTTAGTGATATATAAAATACGATGGCTTTTCAGGTTCTTATACCGTAGCCTACGTACGTGGTTGCTGCCAGGCGAGCCTAAAAACATCATGACTGCAAGTCCGTCTCCACAAAGTCTAGCCCAAGAACAACAAGGGCAAGTCAAATATTCCTGGCCAAGGTTAAGGTTAAGTGCAATGTAAGCCTGTAATTGACGGAGATATACGTCACAACAACAACCTGAAAAACCATAGTATTTTAGTGACTTAATGACACAACATTTACCAACGGTACAAGCGATAAAAACTAACAAAAAACTTATAAAAACGTGCAGACACCCTTGTATTATGTTTGATAACAAAGAATAAAACAACTAAAAGAACATTGTTAGAAGACATAAATAAAAGTCTTTGATCCCTGGAGGGGAATTCCAAATAAATTAAATATTTCCATTTTTATATAGAACTAGTTTATGGTTTAAATTAGCTAATACTTTTTTCTTTTGTTTGAATTTTATTGAATAATAGATCACAGTTATAAATAATATCAATACTTTATTGAAATTTGTCGTTGAATTGGACCACGATACAGATTTAATGATGTACTAAAATTTATTTTTGGTATCAGCGGCGTAAAATGCAGAAAAATCTGTCATTTCGGAATTTCAAGGCTAGAAATTTTATACAGCGACAGCGCTGTAATTATAAAGAACAATTATACATTATTGAAAACTAAAATGGTCAACTTAGGTATTATATTATGTCGGTCGATAGCCGCGCGGTAGACCGTAGATTAGCTATGCTTGTACGGAGGATTGGCACCCTCTGTCCAGGTATGGTAGGGTGGAAGAATGTTGGCTTGGGTCAATGTGAGAGATTGACACCGGTTGGCATTTGACCACCCCCCTAATTAATGAGGTTTTCCAGGTTTCCCTCATTCCTGCACTGAATGGTGGTTAGGGCCTACCAACATAAGTCGTTCCTGGGCGCAAGTGCGGCCTGCTGAATAATATGCCGCCTCCTCTCCCGCACAAGTCTCCGACTTTTGGGCTAATTCTCGTGGTTAGAATGAGGGGTAAAGACATTATTATTATTATATTGCAAAGAGGCGGCGACTTGATACTTAAAAAGATTGAGAATAATGGTTACCAACATAAATTCCTACAATTACTTTGTCAATCCTTATATAAGTTTAGTCTTTACGTATATTTCATTGCAAATAAATAAAGTGTCAGTTATTCTGTAGAGAAGAAACATGGATTTAAAATTGTATACGTCATCCCGTTTTTGTTGTCTTTTTTTTTGTCCGGTGTGACCGGTGTCGTAATTTACTGTTATTCAGTAAACTCTAAAAGCTATTAAATGTTTAAAATGTTTTGTCTTTGTAGAAAATAATATTTTGTGGAAACAGCGCCTTTAATATAATCTTTTTTTTAATTTAGTTATTTATGTAGAAAATGTATGTAGGTACCTTGGTCATATATGAAAACGCAAATTTACTGGAAAAAACATGTATCTAGTAAATATGAAAGGTATGTATAGACAGATGCGACAGGGAGCAGCACAAATGACGACTTTGTTGAACTAGGTTTCGTGTCATTAAAAATATGTCTTAGTAATAAGAAACATTGTTCGCACAAAAGAATTATGTTTTATAAACCTTTTAGCTTCGACAAACATGTAAATATAAAGGCTAGTACAGACTTGTATACATAATTGAGCGACATGTGTATCTGAACATGTCTACAATTGCCGCGAGACATGTTCGGACAGATTCTGATGTCTTCTGACAGTTGCTATACAAAAGTCCCTTGTTGTTTGTGTTTCTAAACCCTGTACCCTTTTTTATTAGTAACGTATCCAAAAGGTTGAGTTCAACACTGATATTTTCTGAAAATAATTCTCGTTGCCAACGCAATGTCTGATGGGCGTCAATGTCAATCATTGACGCCTGGCTATGTATACTGTCCCAATACATGTTGCTCAACTTTGTATATATGCTAGTCTGTATTTGTCTTAAGGAACACACTGCCCACACAGAATCAGTTACTTGACTGATCATGAGTGTTCGTGTTAATCGACAATACTGCGGTATGACGACAAGATACCAACACAAAACAAAATTGTAGTTTTGACAAGTGTCACGAGACTTATGAAAAGCTGTCTGCATTAAGAAGAAACAGATAGCGAAACATGCGGCAAAGACAAATATTTACGATGTCGACATAAACAGTCAGGCACACAGCAATTTTATTTTCGGAAACTAGTAGCTAGCGACAAATGTTGGTCTTGTCGCTTATATCTGGATGCTTCTTTATATTGACGAAACTTGGGGGGGGGGTCTTTAGAGTCGGAGAATATCTTAGAAAACGAGATCTTGAAAAATAAAAAAAATGCGAATATGCGACAAAACGATCAAACATTTTGGGAAAAGTAATATGGTAAAAAGGAAACTAAAAGAATCCGCATTTATTTTGTTAAACGGTAATAATTCATTAAATTTTGATTGTTAGTTGAATATTCTCAACGACGAAATAAGTGGCGACAATAAAATAAATACACAGTAAACTTCAATTAAAACTTCCCAAGTCACGTCGATTTTCTTTTCAAGGGGGCGTAAGTTTTGATCGACGTGTCTCAGGTTTTTTGTTTTTTTTTTAATTCCGATATTTTTCAGATGAGAAGTTTTAAGTGGAACACCTCGTTGTAGTAGCAGCAATAAGCTAAATCTGTGGTCAAGTCGTGTGCTCATGATATACAATACTACTACTGACTGCCATAAAAATACGTGCCATACACTCGACCAAGCAAAGCTCTAAACTCACTGACACATGCACAAACGACAATGAAATACACGGTCAACGTCCTTCAGCAAAAAAACCTGGACTCTTCACCGGTATGCCAGACCGTCAGGGCAGGTGTGTCCTTAGATACGTATCGAATAAATTGATCGATGCGAAGCTTCAGATCAGAGGCAGAGATTATTGTACAATGACGCGGATAGTAGAATTACTAAAATGGGAAGTAGTTGACCCTTGACCACCGTTAATAAAAATGGTATCTATTAAAAATTTCGACTATTCTAGATATGCGACTAGGATAAACGTTGAAGGATCATTTTTGTTTTTGAAATGGTATTTACCGATCGTCGAAGAGGATTAACCGCAGAGCACTTAGGACAACCGTTAGTTATTTTCTACAATTACTTTCCTTATGAGTTAGAAATTATTATTTTGCTGGTACTTATTATTATGCATTATATTATACTTATATATTTTATTGTAAGTTCCATGAGAAGCGTTTACTGCAGAAAAATTGACACTGCCCCTTTTTGTTTCATACTATACTAGGCACATAAATTAAGGGATATTAAAAAAAATCCCAAAATTTTGGGTGATTTTCAAAGATCTGTAAGATGGAGGGAAATGGTCGTAGAGAGAATCACAAAAAACGAAATTGAAGCTTCAGGTGTCTAGTTTTCAGATCTGCAATTTAAAATTTTTCAGAAACAGCAGTTTTTGAGTATCATAAGAAAATCAACAGAAAAAAATGTAAATTTTTGCTTTTTTTTAAAAAGGTCTATGGACTTCAAAATAATTTTTTTTGGTAATTTCACCATAAAGATCTTTTAGATAATTTAATTCTCTTCATTTTGAGCTTTTCCGGAATTATCCGGAGTTATCGTCGATCAAAGCAAAAAAATAATTTTTGACTTTGGTAATCAATTACTCGGGAAATAATTGTCGTACAGAAAATCCAAGCAGGGTTTTGGAAACTGCAGAGTATTCTCTACAAGTCGTAATTATGGGTTTTTGATAAAAAAATTTTTTCAAAGTGAAAATGTTGGTTAGAAAAAAGGTAAAAAATTGCATAATTAAGGATATTTGGGTAACTTGGCATAACTTGCAAATAATGAATAAACTAAGGATATCGACTGTAACTTTTCAACCAACCACAAAGTGTCCCAAAGAAAAGAAAAATAATTTCAAAACGGTGCGATTTATTTTTGTTAGTGCCCGGAATGTTTAAATTTGTCGTTTTGCTGAAAATCAATGTAATAAGTAATTTTTCACTTTTTATTCATTTTTTTTGTTAAAAATGTTTTTTTAGCAATAATTCATATTTTCTTCATCAAAAAACGTCCATGATTCTAAAAAAATGAAAAAAAAAAAAATTGACCATTATTTCCCGAGTAATTGATTGCCAAAGTCAAAAATGATTTTTTTGCTTTGATCGACGATAACTTAGTGAAAAATAATCGTACAAGGCTCCGGAAAAGCTCAAATTGAAGATAATTAAATAATCTAAAAGAGCTTTATGGTGAAATAACCAAAAAAAATTTTTGAAGCCCATAGGCCTTTTTAAAAAAGAAAAAATTGACAAATTTTTTTTCTGTTAATTTTCTTGTGATTACTCAAAAACTGCTGACGCTAAAAACTTTTAAACTGCAGATCTGAAAACTAGACATCTGAAGCTTCAATTTTCTTTTTTCTTATTCTCTCTATGATCATTTCCCTCCAAGTTACAGCTCTTTGAAAATCACCCAAAATTTTGGGATTTTTTTTAATATTCCTTCATTTCTGTGCCTATTGTATTATGCAAATACTTACCTGTATTCTTATAATGTAAATCGTGAAGTTTGAAGAAGGCAACGGTTGTGTTACTTTTTAAAATAAAATTTCAAAAAAGACCCGACCTACAGCCAGTCCTACATTGCAGCCACCCTAACATTTCCGATCTCTAGTATTTCCGATTATTACTAAATAATAGAATAAATATCTCCATGGAAGGTAAATATTTATTATGTCTTTAGATAAACAAAACAAAGAAACTGTTACATTTGTTTTTTAAGTTAATTTGAGAATGAAAGTTTTGATAATGAAAACAGAAACAAAACGTAAACTATGGAATGTGTTTTTCTTAATGTGAGATATTTCGGGTTGGGTAAAACTAAATTTATGAAATGAACCCTTTTGACTTATCCTTTAGGTGCAAAGTTATTTATTTTTTTTTTTTCAGTGTTGCAGAAATACCCCATGAAATAAAAAAGAAAGAAGTTATTATTAAAATTGTTTATAGTGAAATTCTAACATTCTGCATCTTGAAGACGAAGCGACTAAATGAAAAATGGCATAAGGAAAGTCTCATTGTTTTCACTCAAAAAATCCGTGGTTTGCATCCTGACCTACGTTTTTCTAACAACGTGTATACTGTATACAAACGTAATTTTATTCATTTGTTAAACTGGTTTTGAATGAAATGCTTCGCATTTTAATTCATGAACACTCAAGTATGCCCAATGGACACCAGAGTATCAGCTGTGGTACTGATAACCGCGTACGTTATCCAGCTGATATAGTTCCAACCATCAAACGGGGAAACATGATAACGACAAGAGATAAATGTTACGATTCAACAATCGTTCCGCATAAATATATTGGTTCAAATCGTGCGCACGCGTCATCCATTGGCGTTAAAAGTCGAAACAGTCCAAACACAAATTGAATTTTACACCGCCGCACTCTAGCGTTCTAGGTTGACGTCGCAGCTATACCTCCTCGGTGGCACAGTCGATACCCAACCGGGATTCTCCAGCTGATCTGCACGTGAGTCGCGCCTGTCCCGGTGGCCCGTCGTCTTCGATCTAGCTGCCCCGCGTGGTAATGTGTCAAGTGTGAAGTGCCTGGAAGAATGGTGGAAGACGCGAAACTCGTTCCCCAGAAGGTCGATTTGATCAATCAGAAGAACCACCACAATGGGTCGCTGCCCAAGACGGACGCGACCCACAGGCCCCCAGCCGATGGGGGTTCGAGGGCATGGATAGTGATGCTGGGCTCGTTTTTCTGTAACGGGATCCTCTTCGGCGTCATCAACTCCTACGGGGTGCTCTACAACGAGTTTCATGATAATCTTGAAAGAAGGAATGTCACCAATGCCTCTGGGAAAGCGGGTAAGAAACCGTTTCATTCAAAATAAGCCTTTTGATGAAAGCAAAAGGATTGTTTGAATAAGAATTGATATTTAACATCGAAATTGTCCACGTGCTTCGTCAAATTCTATGAATATACCTATAGCTATTAAACTATTAATAAATGTCTTGTTTTACGCCTGAGCTGAAATGCTTGCTATACAGGATGTTTTGAGGTGTAGTGCAAAATGTCTTTATTAAAAAAAATATTTTTAAAGCAGGGCGAAGTTTAGCGCACATATCAAATTTGATTTTTTAAAATCAAATTCAAATATAATTCTGTAAGTTTAGGTTTTATAAGGTGTGCTGCATCGTGTAAAATTTCATTTTACACAAGAAAATGTAGATACCTTTACCGAAATTACTGACAATGTACCTACTGTTTTTGAGAAAAATGTAAACTTAATCAATCTCAATCCATAAATACAGGGCAAGAGGAAAATTTCACATATACTTAAAATAGTTCGTTTTCGACATATAGAATTACGACAATATTTTTCAGTATAAGTATAAAAAAAAGTTTATTCTTTTATCTCAAAAATTGTATACCAGGTGTACTATAAAAGGGCAAATTTTAAGCGATATTCCTGAGACAAAAATAAGCAAAATAATCTCTATAAATCTTGGTCCAAAACACCGTTTTCCCAAATTTTTTTGAGGGAAAATATTTAAATATTTCACAAAATTGAATATAATACCTATTATTTAGTATTATGGTAGAATTCCTTGAACATTCCGTGATAACCTATTGCCATAGACAATATGAAAATGTAAGCATACATATATGTATACAATTATTGCTGTGTAATTTTCAGTAAGTATGTAAACCTTCATATAATATTAAACCCTACCTTCAAAATTCCGAACTGATTTTTTCATAAACTTCTAAGTAATTCTGCTAAATTAATTTTTATATTCCATATCCTTTAATATATGATTTTTCAAATTTAATATTAATTTTCAATAAAAATTTAGATTATTACCTACCTGTAAAATTTAATATAAAGTTCCATAGTATTTTATAATGATATTCCGTATTGATAATTCCATGAATCCGTCCTTTGTAATATTTCTTGAAGATTATATGTATTTTTCTATGGTACCTACCCAATTTAATGTTTAATCATTTTTAAAATAACGTTATAAAAACTAAAATTAATTTGTCTGCAAATTTCACCCAGCTTCTGACTATTTTAAAACTACTATTATTGTTGTGGCGAAAATATAGCAAAAATGAAATGAAAATCAAAAGAAGTATTTGTTGTTTTATTGTTAACATATCTTTGAAAACACTTTGGAAATATTGTACTATAATAATTATTTAACTGCAAAAAAGACAAATATATTTGGATGAAATCAAAAAAATTTGCTACGTTAAATAAATGTACGCCCTTGTACAGAAAAATGTACTTGTTTTCTCAATAAAAACTTTCCTAGCATTGATAATAATTATGACCGATATAAAAGTTTCCGTTATTAACAAATAGCGTTTTTTTAAATATAAACATATTCCTTAATTTGATAATCTGTTGTTATTATTATTATTTTTTTGACTTGGATGTTAATTTAAAGTCTCGGTTAAATAATTATATAAAAACTTAACAATATTCCACTTGGATATTTCAGATTGACAATTAAAACGCATACATAACGCATACTTAAAGCGAAATTGAGAGACTTCATTAAACATTTTAAAACCTGTGTCGGTAGCGAAATCCTGCTCATATATGATGTAACATATATCTTCTATTACTATAAAGAAATACGATTAAAGTATTAATCAATTAACGTGACCTACAAAATAATAATATGCCGCTCCCTATCTCACACAAGTGTCCGTCTTCGTGGGTACAGTAAAGGGTAGATACATTATCATTATTAACATAGTTAGTAAGTAAGTGGGTATTAAAAGTAGTAAAATATAAGAATATGAGAATATTGAACCAAAGTTATAGAAAATTGGAGCAATAATGTTGAAATACTGAAATCTGAATGAATGAAATGGGGTACTTCTTTAACAAAATGACTTCATACTATCAAATTTTATATTTTCTTGGATTTTGGTGTAAACTACATAATAATAGTTCTACAGGGCTGGAAAATCCACATGGTCTATCTGCCTTTACATGAGAGCGACAAAGTAAAGTAAAGAAATCCGTGCGATAGACAAGGATGGCTATAGTGAAGACGTTTCATAATCTGAATAGTCACCACCCATTTCGGGTTAGAAGTGGGAGTGACTATTCAGATTATGAAACGTCTTCAATGTAACCATCCTTGTCTATCGCACGGATTTCTATGACTTACTTTATCGCTCTCACAAACTAACAAAAAACTTTAAAGATTATCACGTCCACCGTCAGACTGCAAATATCACCGTAATATTTATCTTAAAGAAACTACATGGTTCCTTGTGAAAAAATTATTATTCCTAATTTTATTTGTAACTTCGTTAAGCTTTCAAAGTTTTGTATTGCTGAAGCAATGCTGAACTATAAACATATTTTTTTATATCTATCTAAAAAAACATAGAGCTAGAAGTTACGCTTCCCGAAAAGAGCTTACTCCTGATGTCTACAGCAATGGTTATATGTTACATTCATTAAAAAAAAATAATTTTTTTTTAACTAACAGAAATGTCCCCTTAAATTTTATTCCTCGCGGGACACCCTGTACATATCTTATTTCCGAGATACAGACTGTGTTACAAATTTTATTTTTTCACATAAATGTTTTTTATCGAAATTAGATATGTGTATCAGCAGGGGCGTAACTGTAGAAAGAAAAGGCCACATAATTAGAAAAAATCGTGCGTTATTGATTTTCCCAAGTTCTTATGTATTATTTGTTATTTCCTTTCAGAAATGTTCCTTTCAGAAAACTTGCCCTCAAAATAGTTATATTCTGAAATGTTATTGGAGAAAATCATAACTGACGAAAATTTTAATTAATTTCAAAAAAATATGTATTTTAAAAAGTCATATTTGACGCCCTATATCTCAAAAATAAAATTCAATAGGTTCATGACCCAGAATATGGCATCAGTCTTCGGAATTTATAGCACCTTTTTTCAAAACACCCTGTGTACAACAATTATAAAACGCAAAACTATTCCTAAGTAAGGCGCCAGTTTGTGTTACTGTTGTTATCTATTTCTATACTACACACACATGTAGTATTATCGATAACATATGAGTGTATTTATATAATTATTTGCTGAAGTACATGAATACTGACCGAAGCAAAATATTTATTCTAAATTCTCAATCGAGTGTACCTATGTCTGAAGGTTCCATTTACAAATTTAGATATTCCGATTCGTTTGTGTATTCTATGAGGACTTCCGGGTTACTAAATGAGATTGGCATTGTTAGTTTTTGCACTGCAACATTCTCTTGTGAGAGGTTTATAGATCCGAATTTAGTTATTTTGACCTTACGGATATGTCATTAAGCTGTAATTAATTTTGATTAATAACAAATGTACTATAATATCTTCCAATGATCTTCATTGAACAAAACAATAACGACTACTGCAGCTGTTCACAGAATTAAGTACTTGACAAAGGTATGCTTATAAATCAGTATGCTAAGATATTTAAAAAGGAAATCGTTATTTATGGAAATTAAAGATAATTAATTTAAAATTAAAATGTATTTGAAACGTAGATAGGATACATTATTCGGTGTTATATTTTCATCAATTAAAGCTAGATTTAAGGTTATATTAGAAAAAGTGGATCTCTGGAATAATCATAATATCGCATGTCCCAAAATTCATGATAGATTTGAATTTTGGGTGAAGTGTTGCCAATGAGAAAAAGAAAACTTGACAGCTGACAGTTCAGAGTTATTAAAAATGGAGTGCTATTTTACAGAACGTTGTTGTGTAATATTTTAAAAATAATGAAGATTTGGCAGATGCAGTTCGCAATTTTCGTACAAAATATGGTCGGAATAAACTTAATCAAATGTGGAGAGATTAAGTGAAAAATTCAGAAGGACTGGATCTATTAGTGATCTTAACCACTCTTCAACAAGTCGTTCAACACAAAACATTGAAGTGATTCGTGAGTGTGTTCTTGAAAGTCCATGTAGATCAATTTGGCACCGTGGTCAAGAATTGGACATTTCGGGAAGCTCTCTGCGGCGTATTTCCATGAAAGATTTAAGTTCAATTAGCAAACGAGGAACTGACGCCTACTGACCACACAGAGCGAAGCTGAGTTCGTTGAATAGATTATGGAACAAGAAATGAATGCTTATTTTTCGAACAAAATCATCTTCAGCGATGAGACTCATTTTGATGGTTTTGTTAATCGACAAAATTGTCGCATTTGGGGTTCAGAAAATCCACAAGTGATTATTGAGAAACAAATGCATCCACAACGTATTTGTTGCGGATTTTGGGCTGGAAGTATCATCAGCAAACAGTTCATTTACTGTATAAGTTATTTCCTGGTCGTGTAATTTCTCATTTTAGTCAGAATTGGCCGCCCAGATCATACGAGTTGGGGTTTTTTGAAGTTTTAAGGTTTATATCAACAAACTCAAGACCAACGACCGGCCTGAAGAAGGAAATTGAGCTTTGTATCAACGAAATTCAGCCGCATTTATACAAAACAATCATGGAAAATTTCGAGAAAAGAGTGCCAGCAAAGCCGTCGAGGCCATTTACCCGATACCTGACCTATAAATCAATAAAAAAAAACAGTGTTTTGTGTCAAAATTGCTTCTTGCGTGAATTTTGGGACAGCCTTTATATACAAAACTGTGGACATACTTTTTTATGATAGATAGATTAACCATGATTAATCATGAATTTCATTATTATTCATAGCGAATTTAAAATTATGAAATTGCGGGTTAAATAATCTATTCCATTGTTATTTTTTTGTGTGACACGCCTTATATATGTCGTATTCATAAGGTATATTTAAACACAACGGCAAATATTATACAAATATTCAGATAACTTACTGA